ACACACACACACCCCTACACCCCCGACTCACAGTGCCAGGAAGAAGTTGCTCTGGGTGTACTCGCTGAGCAGCAGGTGGGCACGCTGGAAATACACCAATACCATGGCCAGGAGATACTGCAGAGATAGAAGGGCGGAGCTTGGAGGACGGTGGGAGGAGCAGGGGGCGGGGACTAGGGGCCAGGCCATTTGCACCCAAGAAACATGTTGGTGGCTGGAGGACTGGTCCCCCCCTCCTCCGCCTCTACCAGACCCCAACTCCATACAGTCAAACCTAAAGTTATCGCATCGTCACTTCTGATGCCTGGCAAGCCCAGGTGTAAGACTAATGTCCCCACGTGGTTTTCTCGGCCCTGGCGGGGTAGCGGTGGCTGGCGCGTGGGCCCGCTAACTACACGATCGGCAACCACGGGCCGCTCAATGGGGGAATGACCGGGCTTTCTACTCCGATCAAGAGTTATCGGTCTCGGAAACCCGCAGGCCCAGCTGTACCCAGCCCTAGAGGGTCGCTGTGAGTGGGCGCCTGCTCCATGGCAGGGAGAAGTTTGGGCTTTTCATCCTTTGGGATGTGGACCGCCAGGCCTTTCCTCTCTGTGCCCATTGGGTGCGTTCTAGCCGCCGACCTTTAGGTGAGCAGCTGATCACAAAACCATTTGCACCACCCAAGACAGTACAATTCAATCTCCCCCCCGACCCTCCAAGTTAGCCCCCTCCCCTCTACCTGCATTCCGTACCCCTCACCTTATCTGAGATCTGGAAACAGGGGTCTTGGGAGAGGAATTGCTGGAGAAAATTGTCCTCTGGAAGTGGGAAGAGAAACAGTGGTCCCTGTTATTGCCCTTGGCCCCAATCCCCCCCAGACAAGATGGCCTCAGGGTGCCAGTCTAAGGTTCCTCTGCTCCCACCCCTCCCACCACCCGGCCCAGCTCCCACCCTTCACATTTGCTCTCAAACCTGCCCACCCTAGCACCCCACCCATTCACACACACCCCATCCCCATGAACTCACCCAGAAGGTGGAGGAAGGCCTGGTGCTGGCGAGAAAGGAGAGACTCACCGCTCCCACCAGGGCAGCTCCGGCCCCCCAGGTTTACGTGGGTGGCAGCCATATGAGCAGTGGTGGGGTCTTGGGTGGCACTCATCTCTCGGAAGGGCACGACTGATGGAAAGTGGGGCAGAGTGATCTGTAGAGAAAGCAACCCCATCACTTAGCATCTGGCCCCCACTAAATCAAGGGACCTCAAAAAGGTGGAGGAGATGGGCCGTTGACAGCTTTGGGGGCCCAGAACAGGAGGCTGGGAAACCTGAGGGAGGGGGGAAGAGAGGCGCATCCAGTACTCTGAGGCTGGCTGAGTGGCTGGGTGGTGCTGGCAGATACCCACTTCACAGACGGAGGAGACCGAGGCAGGGAGATCTCACCACCAGCTAAAGTGGAGCTTGTTCCAACCCAGAAGCCCAAGGCTTCT